AGACAGCAGCAAATAGTGGAGCACGCAAAACACTTCTAACCTTGATGCCTCTCACAAACAAACCAAACATACTATAAAGCTGAAATTTGGAACGTATGTTCTAGACGAGTGTACCGACATAACCAAATAAAAAAGTCGAAGATCGAACGGACGTAGCCCGCTAAATTTCAAAATTCACCTTACTTTTTGATCACACCTCGTACATATAAAAATTCATCTAAAAAGACAGACTGTTCTGTATTCAATGTATAATTGAACAATCAACTAATAATCAAATGAAAATTAGTTTAAAATAGCTGTAAAGCTTAGTCAGCGCACCTCAAGCTAGAAACGTTACCCCCTCTCCGAGGGTCTGCACTAGGCAGTATATGCTTACTGAGCGCCTTACTGTCGAAAGAGAACGAGAGAGACAGAGAGAAAGAGAGAGAGACAGAGAGAGAGAGAGAGAGAGAGAGACCAGCATCCATGCTATACAGTGTACGCACCTAGCCAGCATATAGCTTATCAAGCTAGAGACGTTACCCCTTCTCCGAGGGCCTATACCTAACTAGCATATAGCTTACCTAGAGGCCACCCCCTTTCGAGGGCTCATGCCTAGCCAGCATATAGCTTACCAAGTTAGAGACGCTGCCCCCTCTCCGAGGTCCCTCACCTAGCCAGCATAGCTTAGCAAGCTAGAGACGCTTCCCCCTCTCCGAGGATCCACACCTAGCCAACATATAGGAGTAGATTACCAAGCCCCCTACCAACTTCTACAGCGTTCTATCTTTACAACCTCTATAGGAGAAATCCACCCTGACAGTCTATATAGTAATATTTATTATTATATTATTTACTAATAGGAAGACGGGCTCTGGGGGGTTGTGGCTGTGTCAAGGAACCACTCCGGGGAGTCGGTGGGAGGCACCACCCACTCCCTGATTACCCACGATGCGAGTGCAGCGTGCACGCACATGCGCAAACCCCTATGAAAGTTTCAAGCTACCTGGATCCCCCATGAGGTAGCTTGATACAAAAATTGATTATCTACTGAAGATATTCTAATTAACTAATGTAAAATGCATCAAAAACAAAATTTGTCCAACTATGGGGGTAGAAATAATTGTTAACGGTCGTAGAGCCATGGTCGCGGACGCGGCAAATCGTTCCAAAATTATGTAAATCAAAATAGCCAAATAAATAACAGGGCAAAATATCCACAAATAGTATCTTTATTAATCCCAGATACACAATTTCCACCACCAAATATAAATAATAGTAATGAAAACACAAACAACAACAATAACAAACAGCAAATCCATTTAAACCAAAATTAGGCGTGTTGAGCTGCGGTCCGTCAGCGCGTCAATATGATGATGATGTTACTAGTGAATTGAGCAAAGACATTAATAATAAGGACCCCTAAAGTAAAGAAAATTTATTAAAGAAAGTTCCTCCATCACCCCGCATTCTATCCAATACGTTGATTGACACGCGCAGTCAAATCATTGCAATATCCAAATCATTTTATAATGAACTAAACAAATCTAAAAATTGATTAGAACTTTCCGTAACTAATATAGTAGTTTCTGTTGCAATTGGTAAAAATCAAATGCTCATTAAAAAACAAGCTTTTCTAATGATTAATATCGACAGAGAAGTTTTTGAATTCATTTTCCTCGTATTAACCCTTTTGGACAGTAAATTAATTTTAGGGAATGATTTTAGTTTAAGAACTGGTATAATTATCAATTATTCGAACAGAATAATACAAATAAAAAATAAAATAGTAAAATCTTCGTCAATATTGTTCGAGGCGAGTAAATCAGAAAGTATTGATCTTGAAAAGCCACAATAATGAGACATGCGTTTATATAGTAGGAGCTAATAAAAAAATAATTGAAAATGGAGAAATAAATAAATATAATGAAAGTGTGATCGGAAAAGAGTCACAGAATCCTCAATTTAATATTTTAATCGATTTAAATGAAATAAGATATAATATGTGTAAGGTAGATGTTTTGGAAGAAACAAATAATGAATACATAGAGGGTAACGATATAGTGAACATAAAAGAATACTTTGATGGAATAGATAGAGTAACAATAAATACATTTATGGCACAGGAATCAAGTATCTCTGAATAATTTGACTCTTTCACGGAAAACTTAGCAATGTTAGATGAGGATAGAAAATTCATATTTATCTCAATGCTTAAGCTATTCGAAAATTTCTTTCATATAAACTAAGTTTTGTTAATAATTATAAACACAAACTCCGTTTAAAGATAAAAAATTCAATTATTAAGCAAACATTCCTTTCCATACGCTTTGCGTGATGAGATTTGTAACGGTCCTATCTATGAGCTATTTATTAGATTACTGAATTACCGCAACCCGTCAAACGCATCTATCTGTTTACTCAAATCAGCACAATAAATGGCGCCACCTCACCGATTATTTGATTGTATTAGTACAACAGTCTAATTTCATAACCAAAATAAGTAGCGTTATGTCACAAAGTAATAGGTATAGATAGATATAATGATTTTTGTTATTTAAGAAAAATATGTTAATTAGAGATAATTTTGATATAACAAAGCATTTCTTATATAGATTTTAGTACGTAGATTGAGAATATAGTCTTACGAATTGCGTTTAATTATTAAATAATAATGAATTTTAATATGCAAAGTTAATTTATTTATTATACTAAAAATATGAATTATTAGAAAAATGTAAATAGTCCAAATACAAAATGAATAAGAAATGAACAAGAGTAAGAATTGGTTTCATTGATAACAGCTTAACCCTTAAACACCCAAAACGCCACTACCGGTACACTGCTCTTCGACGGCCAATAACTAATACTATTCCTAACTAGAAAAAATTGAGATACATACATTTTTATTGCTAAAGATCTCCTCTATCCGATAGTGTGAATAAAATTTCCCCCAAAAATGATTATTTATTGCAAAATGCAGTTTAAACAAAAAAAAACATGATTTTTCGTGCGTATTTTTTTTTGTGATCGCTTTTTGAAAGGTTTCCCAGTCTGCAGTATACCTGGGACCTCACTAACCGGTGGAGTAAATGTCTAAACTTTAAGAATCCATGATTCAAAAATCGATTTTTCGTTTTCCTATTTCCAAAATGGCCCCTTAACGGCAATTTTTTTTCAAAATATTCATAAATTTTTTTGCTAAATTGGGTGCACTTTTCGAAAAAACTCTCAAGAGTAAAAAGTTCTTAGAATCAGCTGAAAAATACGTCTGAATTTTTTCAAAGAATTTATAGCAAATTTTTTAATTTTGCATATGTGTAATTCTAGGCTATTTCGATTGACTTGTAACCCTTAGGTTACGGATTTTTTTTTAATTTGGCACAATTGTTGTACACATAAAACTGAGATTTTTCCCAAATTTTGGAGACGATACATTAATTATATCAAAAGTTATTAACAATTAAAGAAAAATGATAAAAAATTTTCAAACAGCTATATTTTAAAAACTAATAAAGATATCGAAGTCGGATTTTTTTCAAAATACTTATAATGCCTTAAAATTTCGAAATAATTACAACAATAAACAATAAAAATTTTTTTTCGAAAGTTATTAACTTTTTGTTTAAACAATTGCTAATATCTCAAAAAGTATATTTTTTTTTTGAAAAATTCTTGCTCCTACGTATTCCTGAGGATTTTTGCTATCGAAATCAATCATAAAATTCAAGGGCCCGACATATCGGAAAGCGTAGCCCTAATCAAAAGAAGACGCCTCAGCGACCGGACACCGATTCGGTATCTTTATTAGTTTTTTAGATTAAAGCTAAAGTACCTTTCGACCGTGAGTCCGCTGGAGCGATACCGCAGCCTTACGCCAAGGCGTCTTCTTTTGATTAGGGCTACGCTTTCCGATATGTCGGGCCCTTGAATTTTATGATTGATTTCGATAGCAAAAATCCTCAGGAATACGTAGGAGCAAGAATTTTTCAAAAAAAATATATACTTTTTGAGATATTAGCAATTGTTTAAACAAAAAGTTAATAACTTTCGAAAAAAAATTTTTATTGTTTATTGTTGTAATTATTTCGAAATTTTAAGGCATTATAAGTATTTTGAAAAAAATCCGACTTCGATATCTTTATTAGTTCTTAAAATATAGCTGTTTGAAAATTTTTTATCATTTTTCTTTAATTGTTAATAACTTTTGATATAATTAATGTATCGTCTCCAAAATTTGGGAAAAATCTCAGTTTTATGTGTACAACAATTGTGCCAAATTAAAAAAAAATCCGTAACCTAAGGGTTACAAGTCAATCGAAATAGCCTAGAATTACCCATATAACTAATTTTTGCAAAATTCAAAAAAATGCACGAAACGCTCCGGAAAAATTCAGGCGTATTTCTAGGCTGATTCTAAGAAATTTTTACTCTTGAGTGTTTTTTCGAAAAGTGCACCCAATTTAGCAAAAAATTCCCGCGGTTTCTGGTATCATCTAAAGGTGTTGAAGATGATTGATGTGCATATGTATAGCTATCGTCTGTTTGCCGCAAACAGAGTTTACGTTGCCCAACTATCACCAACGTGGAGGTCGACGAATCTCGATAGTTTCTTTTTTTTTTCTTTTTTTTAGTATTTTTATATTTTTTAAAATTTTTTTAAATATTTTTTTTAGAGATTTTTGAAAATTTCAAGTATTCGTCAATTGAAATCAATTTGATCCTGCTGTTTCAGAGTGTGATTGAGAGAAACAACGCAAGCAATAATACATATCGCAATCAATGCAAAATCTTGTAGTCCTTTGACGACATTTTTCAAAATTACATAATAATCTTGTTCTTGACTCGAATCTATGAGTTTTAAAATCGCCTAATTTCGATTGCAACAAATATTTCCTGCTAATGTCTCTACAAAAATCTTTTGTTTTCAATTTATTTTTAGTACTCTTATTTCAAATTTTCCAAATTACTGTAGCATTTGTGATTGATGATTCTATTATTCTTGAAAAAATTTTAAAAGTCTACTTCTTCGAACTGATAGATGGAGAAGCTTTTTTACAACGGAAATCGTGTAAATCTACCCCTCCCATGTATTTGTTGTACAAAGAAAAAGCATGAGGAAATCCTAGTTCTACTCTCTCTTGAGCAGTTCGTGAAAATCTTTTCACGGGTGTTATGGGAGTGACACCAACAGCTGTGGAAAGAATAGAGACTTGTTTTGAGTCTATGACACTGATAAAATTCATACCACTGTTGCTATCATGACTTACTTTGTACGATCCTCGCGGATCTTTTTTTTCAAATTCATGTTTTTCTTTCACTCTATCTTTACGAACAGTTCCTGTTGATCGTAAACCATATTTATTCAGATGAATGAGTAAGTCTGGGCTGGTAAAAAAATTATCAAAGTAGATATGATAATCAGATAACTTTCTTATTGACAGGCCATTTAGAAGGGGATTGATCATTTGCACGACAACTCTCGAGCCAAGTGCACATGCCATTAACTTTATTCCAATACTTGTATCATTTTTGCCACAATAAACATCTACATTGAAAAGATATCCATTGGCTGCACATAAACCCCAGAGCTTTATCCCGTATCTATCAGGTTTACAAGGCAGATACTGTTTTAGGCTGGTACGACCAAAAAATCGAACCATCATTTCATCAACTGAAAGAGCTGTTGAGAAAAAACCAAATTGTTGAATGTTTTTCCTGAATAAATTTAATAATTGACGCACTCTCCATGCCTTATCTTTATCATTTCTATCTTGAGTTTTTGAAAATTTTATTTGTGATTTGATTTCACAAAATCTATTACGGCTCATGGCTGAAGCTACAGGAGAACATTTTACAAGAGGGTCAGTTTCCTAATACTCTGATTGATTACTTCGGATATTGTATGATGAAAGCACTAATATACCAATAAAAGTGTTGAGTTCTTGTATGGATATTTCTAAGCCATTTTCTCGGCTAGCTTCAATGATATAGTCTTTTATTTCTCTGGAGAAAAACATTTCGAATATTTCCACAGGTGTCATAGATGATATTTTTTTCCTTGTTGCATCTGGCAGAAAGATTTGATCACACATTACCAGAGCGAACTTTTTCCCCGGCCTTCCAAGAAGAAACGTGATCTGGTTCCAATTGTTTTTGAGATTCTGAGTAATTATGAAAAGTAGATCTATATGAAACATTTGGCATGGAATATTCCAAGGCCTCATTCTCGTCATCCGACGAGGAGTCTCCATCAGAGCCAGAGTCATCAGGATTTGGTATGATGGTACATTCATCATTTTCATCTGAATCCGATTCGGATTCAACATTTGTTAAAATTTCTGTGGCCCTGCGCTTAGGCATTTTTTTTTCGATGTGTTCGAAAAATTTTAGGATGAAAATCCGGTGAAGGTGTGATGTGGATGTCAGAATGAGATAAAGGTTATTGAATCATTGGGAATTTTTTACTAAAAAACGATGAACTTTCCGAAAAAACTCTCAGGAGTAAAAAGTTCTTAGAATCAGCCAAGAAACGCGCCCGAATTTTCTCGAAGCGTTTTGTGCAATTTTTTGAATTTTGCAAAAATTAGTTATACAGGGTGAGTCATTTTAATTTCCCCAGTCTAATAACTTTTGAAACAAGCAAATTACGCAAAAATGTTTCAGACCAAAGTTGTAGGGGTTCAAGGGGGACATCTAAGGATGACTTTGAAATTGACCTTGAGCTTGACCTTGACGGCTTTCTCAAGGTCAAGTCTATTTTTTTATTGGGAACCCCTATTTCTGACCTCGGAATCGGAAAGAGCGGGAAATTTTACATCCAGATAACATCTTTTAACATGGGTCAAAATAAACCCTTAAGGTCATGCTAAGGTCAAAACTATCCTGGAACAAGAATCGAACAATGTAAGCAAAATACGAAAAAATGACTCAGAAAAAAGTTGTAGGAGTTCAAGGGGGACGTCTAGGGGTGACTTTGAAATTGACCTTGAGCTTGACCTTGACGGCTTTCTCAAGGTCAATTCTATTTTTTTATTGGGAATCCTTATTTCTGACCTTGGAATCGGAAAGAGCAGGAAATTTTACAGGATTTAAATTTTTTAAATTTAAAAATTTTTTAAATTTAATTTTTTTAAATTTTACGGGACTATTCTTGTTTCCGTTCCCTATCCTTTTTTATTTTTCACCGGACTGTATGATTATTATTAATAAATTTCAAATATTGGAAGTTGTTGCTAATAATTTGCTATTACAAGTCTATTAAATTAATGAAACTATTTCAGTATCAATCTGATGTTCTGCAAAGAAATAAGAGTAAAAGTTAAATACATAAGGATAAATTTCATGTTCAATGAAGAATCTATTACATTTGGAAGTCGTTTAGAAAGTAATCGCAATACGTTCAGTCGTGATTTCAATTTTGAAAAAGCTTTAAATATTACTTTTGTTTTAACCATGCTTGTGTTCATTGTATCACTATCATTATTTCTTCATATTTGAATAAGAGACCTTTCTTATTGCCATCGATCATATGAAATCTAATTTGGACAATATTGCCTCTGTTTTCAGTAATATTTAATTTGTATCATCTTTCTATGATCTTGGCCTTTGTTGATTTGTATTGAGGTTTTTTGAAAAAATCTTTTAAATATGGCTGATTTTACCCCAATAGAGATAGTTGATATGATTTGGATTTTAGGAGAATGTAGAGGTAATTACCGTGAAGCGTCAAGGTTGTATCGAATTCGATACCCACAAAGGCGCCATCCTGATCACCGTACCATTCATCGTCTTGAAGAAAGAGCTCGACAAGGGCATCTACGAAGAAGTCGACCAAGACATGAGTATGATGATAGAGATGCTAGGGTTTTGGTTGTCTTAGGATTGGTTCACCTAAATCCTCATATCAGCAGCCGACAAATAGAGAGAGAAACAGGAATACCTCAGAGAACCGTTATTAGAATTTTAAGAAGTAATAGATATCATCCGTATCATATTACCTTAACGCAAGCATTAAACGCTAATGATATGAGAAACAGAGTAAATTTCTGTCGGTGGGCTCTACAGATGATTTTGCAGGATCCGAATTTTTTTAATTATGTCCTTTTTTCTGATGAAGCTACGTTTCATAGTACTGGCCAATTGAATCGTCACAACAGTCATTATTGGTCTGATCAGAATCCTCACTGGTACAGACCAGTCGATAATCAACATCGTTGGAGTGTAAATGTATGGTGTGGAATAGTTAATGGTCATCTCATCGGGCCATTCTTTTTTGAAGAAAACGTCAACGGCAATGCTATTTTAGAACTTTTAAGGGATCATCTCCCACTTTTACTTGAAGACGTAGATCTTGAGACTAGACGTCGAATGTAGATACAACTGGATGGTGCAGGACCGCATTTCGCTTTAATTGTACGAGAGTTTTTAAATAGAAATTTCCAACAAAGGTGGATTGGAAGAGGTGGTTCAGTTGCTTGGCCTGCACGATCACCGGACTTAACTTCCCCAGATTTCTTCCTTTGGGGATACTTAAAAAATACTGTGTTCGCCGAAGCGCCCACAACAAGAGAGAATATGATAGAAAGGATTAGAGTTGCATGTAGACAAATCTCTAGAGATATCTTACTGCGCACTATTGAAAGCTTCGAACAGAGGCTCAGGCAATGCATCGACGTAAATGGTAATAATTTCGAGCAAAACCGATAGGAAATAAGTTTATTCTAGTTTCATCACGAATTGTGAGAGGCAAGGGGACTCACATTAATAAAGTACCCCAAATCGTGAGAGGCAAGGGGATTCACGTTAATAAAGCACCCCGAATCGTGAGAGGCAAGGGGACTCACGTTAATAAAGCACCCCAGAGGGAACATAATCCTATTACGTCCACGTCGTTGTTCCTGGGTAGTGCTAAAGATAGGAAGTTTATGATCTTAAACATCAGCATCGTTAGTACATGGCCAGTCCCTTATTCTTTGGAAGTTTATTTAACAACGGTCATATGCGATAAAAGCTTCGCCTCGAAATGTAACAAAAATAAGAGAATTTTCAAGAATTTGACCTTTGCTTCACATTGAGAATAGAAGTACGACAAAGGTCTTCGATGCTCGTTAAACCTTTTGATGTTTGAAAGCGGCTTCAATTTCTTAAGTAAAAACTGAAATATTGTTTATGTTCTTATGAAAAAAAACTAAATAGATACTTGAACGTAAAATTTCCCGCTCTTTCTGATCCTGAGATCAGAAATAGGGGTTTCCATTAAAAAAATAGAAATGACCTTGAGAAAACCGTCAAGGTCAAGCTCAAGGTCAATTTCAAAGTCACCCCTAGATGTCCCCCTTGAACCCCTACAACTTTGGTCTGAAACATTTTTGCGTAATTTGCTTGTTTCAAAAGTTATTAGACTGGGGAAATTAAAATGACTCACCCTGTATGCAAAATTAAAAAATTTGCTATAAATTCTTTGAAAAAATTCAGACGTATTTTTCAGCTGATTCTAAGAACTTTTTACTCTTGAGAGTTTTTTCGATAAGTGCACCTAATTTAGCAAAAAAATTTATGAATATTTTGAAAAAAAATTGCCGTTAAGGGGCCATTTTGGAAATAGGAAAACGAAAAATCGATTTTTGAATCATGGATTCTTAAAGTTTAGACATTTACTCCACCGGTTAGTGAGGTCCCAGGTATACTGCAGACTGGGAAACCTTTCAAAAAGCGATCACAAAAAAAATACGCACGAAAAATCACGTTTTTTTTTGTTTAAACTGCATTTTGCAATAAATAATCATTTTTGGGGGAAATTTTATTCACACTATCGGATAGAGGAGATCTTTAGCAATAAAAATGTATGTATCTCAATTTTTTCTAGTTACGAATAGTATTAGTTATTGGCCGTCGAAGAGTAGTGTACCGGTAGTGGCGTTTTGGGTGTTTAAGGGTTAATAATAACTGTTATTAATAAATAAACAATTAATAATTTATTTAATCAATAAGTTGTATTTAGAACGAAAGCGTTAATTTTATACTTAATAATGATAACTTTATAATTTATAAATCTTAGATAATTAATCTAATAATTGCGTTATAAGATTATAGAAAAAACCGTTAAAAATATGAAAATTTGTTATAATTCAAATGTTATTAACTAATTTGAATATTTTTTTTTAAATACTTCTAAAATTAATAAACTATAAGGTTATGTAAAAATTTAATAATTTTCTATTGCAAATATTGTAATATTACATTAATTAACTTTATTAGTTAATAACTTTTGACAACACCATTTGCGATAATTGTAAATTACACTAAATCAATAAATAACGAATTGTGTAAAATTCACATGTGTTGAAAGCTCATTATTAATGTTTATTTACTTGTAATGAAGGAGTATCGCTCAAGAGCTGTTAAACGACGTCAATGATGATCCTGATATACTTAAAAGAGTCATAACTGGTGATCAATCGTGGGTTTGTGCTTAAGACGTCGAAATTAAAGCTCAATCGTCCCAATGGAAGACTCCAGAACAGCCAAGACTGAAAAAAGCACGTCAAATTCGATCAAACGTCAAAGTTTTGCTCACTGTTTTCTTTGCTTATCGTGGTGTAGTACATGAAGAGTTCTTACCACCAGATCGTACGGTCAATAAAGAGTATTACCTTGAAGTTGTGCGCCGTTTGCGAGAAGCAATACGAAAAAAATGTCCGAAATTGTGGAAAAACAATTCATGGATTTTGCATCACGATAATGTACCTGCTCACTCATCGTCGCTTGTGTCGAACTTTTTGGCCAAAAACAAAACCACAATCATACCTTAGGCACCATATTCAGCGGATATGGCCACCTACGACTTTTTTCTGTTCCCAAAACTCAAGAAACCCACAAAAGGACGGAGGTTTGCAACTATTGAGGAGATAAAAAAAATCGATGGAAGAACTGAAGGTTATATCAGAAAATGTTTACCAGAAGTGCTTTGAGAATTGGAAAAAACGTTGGTACAAGTGTATTATATCTCAGGGGGATTATTTTGAAGGGAACAACATAAGTATTGATAAATAAATAAATATTTTTTCATAAAAATAAAAATTCACTTTATTTTTTCAACACATCTCGTATATGCATGCCATTCGGTATAAAAACTGCGGGAAGCGCTTTCATTCGATTATTTACTCTGGCTTTGATGAGCGACATACAGGTTATTGATATGTTTAGGATACACCTAGAATTTAATAAATTAACAGAAAATGAAGATACAAGTATAACATACGTTAATATTTATAAAGAATCGGCTACATATGTCGACGATTGCGCTATTGTAACTCCTACGTTTAAGAAACACATACAAGTTTTTCAAACGATTTTTACTA